AATCCAACATTTCAACCTGTGCTGCAACAGGGTTTGGTGCTACATTTCCCAGGGGTGGAGTTCCCCCCCAAGCTGGGGATCTCCAGATGTTTTGTTTTGACAAAGCCTGTTCAGGCAGCTGTTGGGAGGAAGAGTGAGGCTTTGTAGGACACAGGGATACAGCTGTTCCTTGGGGAATTTCCAGAAATCCTGCCTTCCTGCTGGCCAGAGCAGCAAAGTGAGCCTTGGAGGAAGGGAGGAGACACTTGGCATCTGAGTGAGCATAAAACCTTCAGGAGTGAGGTAACAGGAGGCAGCTGCCCCAGCCTGCTGCCTGTGCTGAGGCTCAGGGCTGGGGTTCCTGTGTTCTCCAGCATCCCTGTATCCTGCTGGCACCTCCCAGCAGAAATAAATTGTTTAAAAGCAAGTCAATGTAGCATTTTTAGTGTGCCTCACTCTCCAAGCAGAGCCAGGGGCTGCAGCAGCTGCCCACTGCTCAGGGCTTGGTAGGAAGCCCACAGCCATGTTCTGTTTGGGGGTGTTAGGGAGTGGCAGGAGATTTGGGCACCAAATCTTTGGCTGGACTAAACTTGTTCCTTTGAAGGGCTCAGTTTTCCCCCCTAAAGGTGTGTGCCCCTCAAATGTGGCCTTTGCTGTGCTGTTCTCATCTGGCATCCAAAACCTCCCCCAGCTTCTGGCAGCAGTGCTTGGGCAGCTGTGCAACCACCTGGAGCCAAAGCTGTGCCCTTATTGCTAAAACTGCCTGGGAGACACCCAGACAGACGTGCAGGCAGTGATGTGTCCTGTGGAAGGAAAATTGGGAATGTTCCCTGGAGCTGCCACGAGCTGGGAGCCCCTGTACCCAAACCCTCACACCCAATGGGCAGCTGGGGCCTCGTGCTGCAGGAAGCTGGCTGCTTCCACAGCACCAAATAACTCCTGGAAATCTGTGTGTCAGATTAATTGGCTTTGGAAAAGTGTGTTAAAAGTTAAACCTGAGTATTGCTGGGCTTGGAAAGTGAGGGAAAAGCAAAACTTCCTTGTGAGAGGTGGGGGATGCAGTGCTGGGCTGTGGGAGGAGGGTGGCACGAAGCCCTTTCTCCACATCCCTTGGCTGTGGTGCCTGGTGCAGGCCCCATCTAGAAAAGAAAATGGTTGGAGTGGAAAAAACCCCTCTTCCCAGGAATGTTGGGTTGGCTTCTAGCAGCCCATTTGTGCTGTTGTTCTCCAAACGTTTTGTTCTGGTCTTCATCCTGTTCTGTCCTGCTGGGAACTCTCTGGGTGCATCTCCCTTCCTGTCATTCCCCCCTGTATTGCAGCACCCAGGTGTTTTTGTGGGTTTCTTTGTTTTTTTTCAGGTGAAATTCCCTGTCTCCACCTCACAGCTCCTGCCAAAACCCCAGTGCAGCACAGGGAGCCCTGGGGTGTGCAGGGGGCACAGGGTGCCAGTGGGATGCTCCTGGCACAGCATTTGGGGACTGTTCTCCCAGGCTGGAGGATTTCCCTGCCTCTTGGAGCTGAGTGATTTTCCCATTGCCTGTGGGTCAGACATTCCCTGTGGAGCTCTCTGGCTCCTCTGTGCCGTGGTCTCTCCAGCATTAATAACCAGCTGTTCTTCCCTTGCTGCTGGAATTTTCTATTTTGAATTGGTTTATTCCTGGCAGGGGTGTGGGGGCTGCAGGAGCTCTGTCACTTGCTGCTCAGCTGGGCTTTGACCAGGTTTAAATCCTGCCTTGCACCCCTGATTCCTGCAGCAGACAGGAGCAGGAGTTCTGTAGGGCTTTGGGAGGGAGAGCTTTGTCACAGCAGCTGCTGAGAAAACACACCCAGGGCAGAGTGGTGCCTTCCCTCGTGCAAAGGGAATCCTGTTTGCTCATTAGCTGAGGTCTGTGGGCTCAAGGGCTGGTTTGGATGAGCCCTCCAGGCTCTCCAAGGCATTTTTCCCTTCCTGGTGGGTGCAGGAGGGATTAGGCAGTGGCCCAAAGTAAGAAGGATATAGGATGGTCATCCAGCAAAAAATGGAGGTGCAGGGATGTGTGGGCATGGAGAGCTGAGCCTGGGCAGAGGGAAGGGTGGCTGTGGAGCAGAGGTGGCACTGGGAGGTTGGTGGCTCTGGTCCATCAGGGTCGCTGCTGCCCTGGTCCTGGCAGAGCCTGGAGGATCCAGAGGGAAGGGAAGGGGGGGTTCCCTGCCAGAGCCAAGGGGTTCTTTGTGTCCAAGAGGGGATCAATCAGTGCCTGGGCTGTGGTGTGCAGGTACACCATGCCCAGCACACCCAGCACTGCCCCTCTCCCCAAGGAAACACCATTGCACCAAAACCTTGCAGCCCAAGCACGTGGCTGCTTCTCCCATCTAACCCAGGAGATCTCAAGTTGTTTCTGAATCTGTGTTGATTTATTAAAAAAAAATACATATATATATATAAAAAACCCAAAACTTACTGAGCCACCCAATCCAGCCTTGAGCTGGTTTCTAACTCCTGCATCCCACTTTCCCTCTTGTCCCACAGTCTTTGGAACTGTTTAAAGGTTTTGAAGGCAATGAGGAGGTTGCTGTGCCCAGGCTGATCCCATAACAGGTACTTCTTACAGCTAATTGCAGTGTCCCATTTACTTGCCTTAAAGGTGGAGAGAGAAACTTAGTATTTGCACTTAGCAAAACGTTGTATTAAATGAAAAAAAGACCTGTAAAGATGTGCATGTTCTGCAACTTTGTATAACAATAGCTGAAAATAAATAGGTGGTTTATTACAAAAAAAAAAAGAGAAAAAAACCAAAAAATATTTTTCTTTACATTCTGGTAGTAAACAGTTCTAATATTCTGTGTGTAAAAAGTTCCTGTATTATATTGTAATTTGAATTTTTGTAAATAAATTTGTGCACTCTGGCTTTTCACCTGTGTGCTTTTCTTACAGCCATGACCTTGTCCTCCCATCCTGCCTGTGCCATGGAAACTGCCCAGGTCTAAGGCAAAGCCCCAACTGACCCTCCTGGAACAGCTGAACGTGCTCCCTGTGCTCCCAGGGAAAAACTGGATGGGATAGAAAATGGTTTCCAGTCACTCCTTTAAATGGAAACCAGGATGGGGGGAAGGCTGAGGGGATTTCCCCTCTTGCTGGAGTCTGGTGAATGATGGTAAATGCAGAATCCAGCCTGGAGGGGAAAATAAAGGAAATGTGTGCTGGCAGCTGGGGAGAGGGAAGGGGGAGAGTCCTCCTGCAGCTCCAGAGCCCTGCCCTGGGTGGGCACCCCCTGGCAGAGCTGCTCCCCTGGCTGGGGCCACAGCCTGGTGTCACACACAGATGTCACAGTGAGGCCATCAGAGCTGCTCAGCATTTCCTGCACTGCCCTGGTTTCTCCCTGTTTATGGTCAGCACTGCACATCCTTCCTTCCTTCCTTCCTTCCTTCCTTCGGCCCTTGCAGGGCTCACCCCCCCAGTCTGATGGTGAAGGTCCCTCTGGGCAATGCCATCCCCTGAGATGTGTGCCTGGGGGGTGCTGAACAGCCCCCCTATCCCAAACTTTGCTTTTTCCAATCAGTTTTACATTTTCCAAGGCAAACAGGAGCCCGTGGGTGCCCAGCCAGGCTGTGTTGATGGGCAGGGAAGCTCTGGCTGTTCTCACTGCAGGTGCTGGAGGTGTTGGTTGAGTTTCAGGCTGCTTTCAGTTGTCCTGGGAGGGCTGGGGGCACATCCTGGCTCCTTTGGCTCCAGGACATGGTTTGGGCTGGGCTCCCCTTCCCTCTTTAGTCCTTTAGCTTGTCCTTTTCCACATCCCTGAGCAAAGGAGGCTGATTGCTGACCCCCACCCAACCACACACCCAAACCCCCGTCCCAGTGCTCTTCCCTCCCATCTGGGCCATCCCAGGAGGTGAAACACCTGAATCAAGACAGGGCTCAGCTTTGCTCCTGGCCCTGACCTATCCATGGGTCACCCATCCCCAGCTGCCCCTGGGCTCAGAGGCTTCAGACTCTGGCTTTGGCTTTGCATCTCTTTGCAGCCTCTTAATCACCATTCCCATCCCACCATCTCTAGAACTCTCTAGAACCAGCTCAGCCCATCAGACAAAGGCTCCACCACCCCAAATCTCCACATTCAGGCTCTTGCCAGCCCCAACAGACCACACACCAGGTTGAATCCGAATGCAGGTTTTATTTTTTAATTCATCTTTCTCCATTTGAAGCTATTTTTTTTTAAGTTATACAAATGGCACTTACAAAAAAATAATAATAATAAAAAAAAAACAAACCCAAAACTTAAATTTTCAGAGTGAGATGTTTTCAGAGAGTCACGACACCCGATAAGAGGAGACAGGAGAGATGTTTGACCTAATGTCACACGGGGGAGGCCGGAGCAGGGGTGACACGGGTGGGAGCGTGACGGGGTGGGGAGGAGGTGACACAGGGAGGGGTGAAGGCCAGCGAGGGTGTGTGTCATGTCACAGGGTCACACAGGGCTTCAAGACACTCGGTCCTTGGCGGGGCAGCGCGTCCCTGGGGCCGGGGGGCGCGGGCAGCCCCGGTGCGAGCGCAGAGCCGAGGTAGAGTCCCAGCCAGGATCCCCTGCGCCCGCCAGGGACCCCGGCCCGGAGCTGTGCCCTGCCTGGGCACAGCCACTCGCTCTCCCAGCTGAATTTAGCACCAAGCCCCTGGGGAGGGGATCCCTCCTCGTGGCTTTAAGGCTGACGAGCCCCTGCCTGGGAGTAGGGACCGGCCCTGGTTTGGCACGGCAGCGACGCCGAGAGCACCCTTGGTGTGGGGTGGGACCAGCACTCCCCCTCTGCAGAGGGGGCCCACGCGGGAAAAGGCTCCTTGGTGTGTTTGTAGGGAGCAGAAACCGGCCCTGGGAAGGCCCCAAAGGATAAAGTGCCTTTCACCACCCTAAGGAACACGCAGCATCACCCTTACAGACAGCGTTAAACTCTAATGCAGACCTAGTACAGACGACAGCTGGTCACACAGTGCCATGGAGAGCATATATAAATAGAGACTAACAAAAATACTGTTTTGGTCTTTTTTTTTCTTTTTTCCTTTTCCAGTAGGGTTGCAATTCATGAGAGCCCAGCCCAGGTGCCCTGGGGGTGGTGGGACCAAGAGCTGCCCCCTCGGGGTGCCCGCGGGAGCGGGCGCTTCCTAATTCAGCATTAGGTGTTCAGTGATTCGCTTCACTGTTCCAGTATTTTATGAGAGAGAAAAAAACAACATCGAAGGTACTGAGCAAATATCACTGTGCAAAGTTTGCTAAGGAACTTTTCTATTCTGTAAACCAAAATCTGCAGTTTATGCTTCCAGCCACTGCCCCGGGGAGATGATGTTGGCCAGCCCGGCTCCTGCTGGGACCAAAGCCCACTGGGGATGGGCTGGATGAAGCCCCCGCCCTGGCACGGGCTGGCTCTGTGTCCCCCACGCCCTCCCCTCCAGGCACAGCAGCAGGACCAGCCTCGGGGCAGGCTGGACCCACCATCAGGGTCTGGGATGCTCCTCCAGAGCCAGGAGCACAAGGAGGGGTGGAGGGACGGGAGCACGGGGCTCCATGAGATGAAAGGCTGAGGCTTTCCAGACAGGATCGCCCTAAAGAATCATTTCCAGGTGTTTGGGGAGGGGCAGCTTGCTGGCCCTTCCACAGGGATGTGCTGGCACGTGCCAGCCCCATGCCCAGGGATGCTGTGATATGTAAGGTCACCTCTTACAGCTCAGCTGGGGATGAACCTGCCCCACAGTCCAGGAGGGGAGAGAAGCTGCTGGGACCAGCCAGCTGAGCCAGCTGAGCCCAGCACCATCGCTCCACCTCCACTGGAGCAGGGCAGGACAGGATGGAGGCTCCAGGGGGCACAGGCAGCACAGCCTGAGGCTGTGCCAGTGCTGATATGGCAGAAGTGAGCACAGAGGTGATCTTATTCCCTTTTTTTAATCGAGGAGAGGAAAATCAACTACCTAAGGTGATGCTCAGGGCCAGGAGGGGGATACGGCCATTTCCAAGCCCAGCAAACCTGGAGGGAGGCAGGGAAGGGAGGATAGAGACAGACCCCTCTACAAAGCTATAGGCAGGCAGCCCCACCACTTTTCCAGTTCTTACAGGGATTTAGGGAGACCCACCTCCCACATAATGCACCAACTCTATGGCAGGAGGGAAGGGCAAGCCAGTCTGAAAATCCTGTTACAGAGAGGAGAAACAGAACCCAAAGGAAAAGAGGACAGGAAGGGAAAGAGAAGTTGGCAACAGGAGGTACCCTAAAGTGCATTAATACTCCCAGAGGGTGGAGGCGTCGATGGTGTCGGCCGATGCCTTGAGCACCCCGGCGTGGTCGCCCTTCAGGTATTTGCCATTGATTTTGATGGCCACTTTGTTATAGTCGCAGAACTCAAAAAAGAAGTCCACGGGGGTGTCGCTGCTGCTGGTGACGGACGACTCGTTCCCCACCATCCAGTACTTGCCAGTGGTATCTGCAGGAGAGGGGACACGGTGGCCTCATGAGCCACCCCAAAGGCCACAACTACCCTGGGCACCCACCCTTGATGAGCCACCACGGGGACCCCAAGGGCCAGCAGGCCCAGCCCTGGGGCACCCTGGGCACTCACCCTTGATGTTGTAGGCACCATCGTTGAACTCCAGCTGGAAGACGTCGTAGGAGGAGCGGTTGGAGTCCAGCGTGCCGGTGACCTTGCGGCAGCCGATGAAGCCGTGCTCGCCGCGCAGCACGATGATGGGCCTGTTGATCAGCTTCATCACGAAATGCTCCGTCTCTCCTGCACGGAGGGGACACCGAGGGGCTGTGAGAGCAGCCAGGGGGGCACAGAGCCACACCCCAAAGCTGGCAGACAGCGGGGAGGAGCCTGCTGTGCCCTCATCCATTTCTCACCCACCCCATCTGTCCCCCTGTCTCACAGCCGGTCACTAGGAGAACTTATTGCCTGAGCATCACTTGGAAGGAGAGCCTGGCTCTGGGGGGGCTTTTTTCACCCCCTGGTGTGGGGTCCTCGAGGGTCCCTTACCTGCTGTCTCCATGGAGGCTGCCAGCTGCCCGTTCTTCTTTGCCGTCACGTATTTGCCGTTGGCAGCTTTCAGGGTGATGCGCTTGTCGCACCACTCGATGTCGAAGTAGCAACTCGCGTTCCTGTGGGGCAGAGAGGACACTCAGGGGGGTGCCATGGAGGGGGCCCCTGCCACCCCCCCCTGCTGGCTCGGGAAGGGCCAGGCTGGATCAGGAGAGCCTGCTTCGATCTGTTTGTGCAGGATGAGCTGTGTTGTGGTGGCCATCCCGCTGGGAGCCCTCGCCCCGGGGGCAGGAGGCAGGCAGGCAGCCAAAGGCACTTCTGGGCTTTCCGCCTGGCTCTCAGGGTTGAACTGCAGGGCAAACATTTCGACAGCCCCAGCCGGCCAGGAAGGATTATGTGGCCCCAGGGACCTGCAGAGCATCGTGGGCGGCAAGCCCCGACCCATCCGTGGCTTTCCCAAAATGCTCTGCCTCTGCTGGGAAGCGTTTGGGATGAGCACCCAAGCTGGAAAATCCCTTGAATTCCCCTGGGAGGTGCAGAGGGTGCTCTGAAGGCCAGGCAGGGCCCTGAGGACTCACTTGGTGGAGGCTGTGGACTGGATGCCCCCGTTGGAGGTGAGGGTCCAGTACTTCCCGGTGTAGGTGCGGAAGGCGCATTTCTTGGTGTCCTTGTTGATCTCCAGCTGGTAGGTCTCCTGGTCACCCTCCTCGTCCTGGTTGGCTGAAAGGTCCATCCCTACAGACCAGAGACAGAGGGAGTTGGGGGGTGGGACCAGAACCCCCCTCCAGCAGGTCCAGGGGGAGGGCAGCCCAGGAACCCCAACTGAGAGGGGCTCCTGCTCCCTGGGTGAGCTTTGGTGGCTCCCAAATCCCTCCCATGACCTCCCCTCTGGCATTTGGGGCTCTAATCCAAGTTTTCATTTGGTTATTTGGTGGGCAGCTGTGAGCTTCCACTCCTGACCCAGCAGCTCCATCACAACGAAGCAAAGACCAGTGTGGATGTTTTATAAGGAAAGGGCTGCAGTTTTTCCCAAAGGTGACAGCCAGGTTTCTCAGCCCATTAGCAGAGGCCGCTGCAGCACCCATGAATCCCAGCTCGTGGCATGTTTAAGGACCATGACAACGTTTTTCATCCTCAGCTGTCACATCCCACTGGACACTGAGGTGTGCAGGGACAGGAGGCTCAGGAAAGCCCCAGGGCAGCCAAGCCTTTCGCTGACTCCCCAGAATCATCAGCACCAGCCAGCTCTGCTGCCAGGATGGCCTCTCCCTGTGCCCAAGGGGCCAGAGGCAGCGTTTCCACACAGAGGAGGATGCAGCTGCTCCTGGGGCCACCAGCCACAGCCCTGGGCCACCGCCAGCCACGTGTGCATCCTCTGAGCCCGAGCAAACCTGCTTAGTCAGGGCTAGCAGGGCCAAAACTGCTCCAGAGCTCTCCAGCTTGGTGGATTTCAGCCTAAAAACACTTTGGGGATGAGAGCCACAAGCTGTGGCCAAAGCCAATGGCCGAGCTCTGTGCTGGGGTGCAGAGCTCAGCCCCACTACAGAGCTCAGTGAAATGGGAGTTCAGTGGAGCTGGATGAATTTTCCAGGGCCAAACACACCTGCATCCCTCCCTGCTGCAAAGGGGTGCACAGGGCTGGAGTGCACATTCTGTCTAGTTCTGGTCCTATCACTAAAGCAGACTTGGAAGTGCTGGAGCAGGTCCAGAGAAGGGAAAAGGAGCTGGGGAAGGAGCACAAGGCTGATGAGGAGCAGCTGAGGGAGCTGGAGGTTGGAAACGTGTTCAGCCCCTCACACCTCCATGATGCACCCCAGCCTCTGGGCTGCTGGGATTTCTGTGTCTCCAATCTCCCGCCCAACGCTCAGGAACTTTGTATATCCATCACCCAACTTTCCCAAAGGGATCAGGCTTTGTTTTCAAATGGATCAGGCTTTGTTCCCAGGGGGATCAGGCTTTGTTCCCAGAGGGATCAGGCTTTGTTCCCAAAGGGATCAGGATTTGAAGGCTCCACTTTGTTGGCCATAATTTTATCTCCCACACCCGAACTGGCCCACAGCTCCCACCCACTCACAGCACTCCCCTCTCCCCAGGCACCCTCCAGCACCTTTTGCAGCTCCCATCCCTGGAGGTGCTCAGTGTCAGGGTGTGGAACAGCACAGTTTAGTGGGGGTGTCCCTGCCCATGAACCCAACCCAGCCATTCTGTGATTCCAGGACTCTCCTGAGGGACACACAGCCGCCCTGTTTTGCTCCCCAGGGTGTTTGGGCAAGGCAGGGGGTGCTGGTGGCCACCAGCCCAGCCCCATGGCCACATCCTCAGCTCCCAGAGCCATCCCAGAGCCGCCTCCTCCCAGCACTGCCGGCAGCTGAGCCGGCGGCTCTGGGAAGGAACATTTGGTTTTGATTTTGCATCCCCGGCTCCAGCCCCAACCCAGAGCTGTAAAACGGAGAGAGAGGGGCTCTGCAGGGGCTCACAGAGAGCCTGGGCTGTGGGGAGGTGACCCTGGGGGACACAGCCCATGCCTCAAGGCTGGCAGCACCCCTGGGCCCCCAGCCTGTGAGAGCTGTGGGTGCCTGCGGTTTGTGGGGAGCAGGGGCTGTGGTGCTTCCCCTCAGTGACTTTTCTGGGAAGGACTCCCTGACCTGCAGGGAGCAGGCTGGGCAGGGCCAGGGGAGGCTGAGTGCCACAGACAGGACAGGGAGTGCCAGGAGGCTCCAAACGCTGCTCCCTGTCCCTGAGCCCCTGGCATGGAGCACAGGGCACACACCAGCCTCCCCCACCCCTCTGCCTGCCCATTTTCCACACTCTGTGCATGGAGCTTTGGGAGCTCTGCCTTTCCCCAGTGCCTGGAAGCAGCAGGAGGAGCAGGAGGGTCTCGCACAGCCCCCTCCCCAAAAGCAGCAGTGGGGTTGGGTTACAGCGACTCAGCACAAAGGAATGTGCTGGGCTGGGGCAGGAGGAGGCTCAGAGGGCTGGAGCTGAGCTGGGGGGGCTGCAGGAGGCACGGGCTGTGTGTGAGGCTGCAGCACCGTGGGGTGATGTCCCCGTGTCCCCGTGGGGAGGACAGCCTGTCCCCACAGCCATCCACCCCCCTGCTGTGGCCGCTCCCTCTGCAATCACGGATTAATTAACGCTCCTGGTAAATTCACAGTCTGGAGCTGGCGCTGCTCTTCCTGACCTTGAGGAAGCTGCTAATTACAGCTGGAGGCAGGAGGGGGGGTGAGCACACGGGGGCTCTGTGGGAGGGGGGCAGCTACGCCTGCACACCCCAAAATTCCCGGTGTGGGATGGCCTCGGGCTCTGTGTGCAGCGGGGTTCGTGGGGGGAATGCTGGGGAGAATGAGGCATGTTCTCACCCCAGAGCTTCCTAAAGCTGAATCCCTGGGCTTGGCTCAGGGAGCAGCAAAGGGCTCCCCAAGCCCACCAGATTTCTGGGTTTGCAGGGCTGATGTGGAGCCCTCGCTGCTCTCCAGCCAGGGCTGTGCATGGAGCAGGAGCCCCCAGGCCATCCCAGGGAGGCACAAACCTCCCTGTCCCTCCTGCACAGCCGGGATTCTCTCTGAAGGAGCAGAATTTGTTGTAGCTCGACCTCTACACCATGGGGAACTGCAGAACCAGAGTGGGGCATTCAGGGCAGGCAGAAAAGTTTCCCTGTGCGCTCAATTCACACAGAATATCTCCTGTGGGCCATGCTGGGATGTTGCTGAGAGCCAGGGGATGAGCTCCATGGGGAGGAGCCTTTCCCATCCTCCAGCTCTCCTTTCAATAACCCCAAAACCCCAGGGTTACAGCTGAAAACACTGAGCCCAGCTTGCCTGGATTGCTCCACCATCCAGGGCTCAGCGCCCTGCAGAGCCCCCAGGGCAGGGGGGATTTCAGGATTTCAGGATTTCAGGACGGGGCTGGGATGCTGTGCCCAGCACAGGTCGGGGCTGGGCTCCCTGTGGGCTCTGGCACCTCCACCCAGGGCTGCACCCACACCGTGCCCAGAGCCTGCTCCTGCCCCTCCCTGCCCTTCAGCCGGGCTCACACTACAGAAATCCAACAGGTTTTTGTCTAAATCCAGCACCCTGCAGCTCCTCTGCTGAGGGTGCAGCTCTGCTGAGGGGTCACGGGCAGGGGTGAAACATCAATTTCCTGACAACCCACCCCTCCTTCCCTGTGGATTTCCTGTGGCTTTGTGGTGTCCCCCAAGTGTCAACAGGCCACTTGGCATCATCTCCGGATGAAAATCCCCATCCAAGCCTGCGTGCCCCCTGCCCTGGAGCCGCATCTTCCCGCCTTGCTGTGGCACGGAGATGAACTGGAGGGGGAGAATCCGGCTCAGCCCGTGCCGAGAGCGCTCCGGGCCCCGGGACAGAGCTCTGTACGTCCAGGCTCGCTCGCCCTCCTCCCCATCCCCAGATCCCATTTCCTGGAATTCTGCAATTCCTCACTGCCACCCTCTCCCCCA